TAGAATTCTGAGGTTTTAGCAACAGGCTTTACAGGCTTTTAGCGACAGATTTTGATTGGTCACTAAAGCTGCTGGGAATTTCCAGAAACGTATTTTTAGATGTTTTAAATTGTTTCGCGCCTCTGAAAGCTTTTTTCTGAATTTAACAATTTTATAAATTGAACAACGTCTAGGATATGGTTGTAATTTAATTTGGGAATTTTCGAAGATGTATTTCTAATTTTAGAAATTGTTTGAATATTCGTTTTAATTAAATAAAAATATTTCCGAGGAGTTTATAAGGGTTTGATAATTTTCCAGGGTAGAAGTACTCATGATTGATGTAGAAAAATTATTATTCGAATTTTTAAGAAGGTTCAAGTTAAGTGAAAAATTCGTCCAAGATAAAAATAATTAAGAAAAATGGTCGTTGTTGAATGGATTAATTCTAGAAAATTTTAATGGGGTTAAAGGACCCTTGGAATGAGGTTCAAGGACTGGAGTTTGAGGAGAGGAAGTTCTAGTGATTCAATAGGGGTTTTAAATCAAGAAAGGTCGGCTAAGAAAATGGATTCTTATTAATAGGTTTCCCCAAGAAAATCCGGCTAAGGAGGGAAAGAAGGTGAGAAAGTTAGCCGACGATCAAACGTTGTAGTCTCTCGTGATGAAGAGGTTCACACCGGTTAGTAGGAGAGGAAGAGGCGTGTCTAGCGGAGGCAAGAGGAAGGCTGAGAACTCGCAACGACGATCGCAACTGGCGGGGTAAAGCGATGGAGAGGCCCCGACCCTATCCTCCTATAAGACCCGGGGTGTCGGGAGTTCGAAGTTGGTCGTTGAATTGTGGCCCGAGGAGGGACCTTGAAGAGAATGACGGCGGAGCTCCAATGGTTAGAGTCGTTGAAGAGGAAGACGATGAACCGATAGAGGAGGAGCCAAAAGAGGAAAAACGTGTGGGGCTTGAGCGTGAGAATGCAGACGTTGATGCGACTAAAGAGGTGAGTGTAAAGGGGGTAAAATCTCTGTCGTAGGTCTTTTAGTCTCCGCTTTTCTTTCAAGTTATTATTTAGTTAACTTTTCTAGTATGCGCGATATGTGTGTGAGGCATCCCACCGCCTGTAAGGGTGGAGGCACGCGTTGTGCTATGTATGAATGTATGTGATGTTGTATGGATTGATGGTATGAGGAACCCCCGGGCGGTTAGGCCACTACTAGACGCGGTAGATGGTCGGGTCACTGCTGGACGGCGAGACGTAATGCAGCAGTTGATCGAGTATGTTGGGGTCACTACTGGACGGCGAGACGTAACGCAGTAGTTGACGGGCATGGACTGGACGGCGAGACGTAACGCAGCAGTTGATCGAGTATTTTGGGGTCACTACTGGACGGCGAGACGTAACGCAGTAGTTGACGGGCATGGACTGGACGACGAGACGTAACGCAGTGCCATTGCCGAGTTTGGGTATGCAACCGGACGGCGAGACGTAACGCGGTTGGCATACTAGGGTAGGACACCGGACGGCGAGACGTAACGCGGTGGTCCTAGTGTTTTGTGTTGAGATAAGGATAGAAGTCGAGAACTTTTATGAGTTAATGTTGAAATGAGTTGATAAGAATGGTTATTTAAGAGCAGAAAGTGAGAACGGCTTTCATGCTAGGAGGCATTTCCCTAATAATGTGTTTAGTAAGGAGTTTGCCTAGGGAAAAGACCTTAGGAAGTAACGACGAGACTGGCCCCTTCTCACTCACCATGTCGAGGAAGGGTTAGCAGAGGCGGACTGCAAGGAGAGGCAAGGCGATGCGAGCAGCTGCACCAGCATTTATGAGAAGTCAAGGAACTCGTGAAGAGTCAGAGCTAGAATAGTTAAATTTCTTTGTTACATGGTTAGGAGTGTAAATTGGAGATCCTGAGTTCTTTCATTTTAAGTATTGGGATTGTCATTTGCCCAAGTGTTCAGTCTTTTTGTTTGAAATTCTTAAACATTGTCGGTTTATTTATTTTAAAATGTTGTTTGGGTTGCTCCGGAGTAATCGGTTTGTGGTTTGGTTTTCAAAAAGGATCTGGTCGTGTCACTTTCCAATCAATTCCTCTTTCATTACTAGTATGTCTTCGACATTTCATGATCTCGTTTTGGTGGCCATTTGGGACCTGAATGGTTAAAGATCGTCCTAAAAATTACTAACGATCGTCATAACTTAATACGTAATATACCAAATTACCAATTTGAATTTCAATTTGAAAATACAAAACAAACAACCCTCCCCACCTGAATAAACCCTTCCCCTCCATCCTCTCTATCGGCCAAATTCTCCACGCCGCCGACCTTCCCCTCCCTCATCCCTGCCGACAACAACCCGACCAACCCTCCGTCGTCCATCGCACCTCAACCCTCCGTCCCTTTCCCCTCTCTTCTCTCTCCTCTCTGCCGACAGCAGACAAGCCAACCCGACGTCCGTAGCGCCTCCGCCCAACTTCCGCCGCGCCTCCAGTCGCCGTCCGAAGCGCCTCCAGCCGCGGCCGCACTAGGGCACAACCATCCCCAGCAACCGCCGGACGCCGTGCATCGCCTGCGCCTGTTGGTTTCCCGCCGGAGAAGGTAAGACAGTCTTCTCCCTTCAACTAACCGAAGCCGCCGTTCGGTTGGCCCTCGGTCAAACCGAGGTCAACGTTCGGTTGGCCTCCGGTCAAATGAGGTCAATATTCGGTTGAGCCATGGTCAAACCGAAGTCAATGTTCGGTTGAGCCATGGTCAAACCAAAGTCAATTTTCGGTTGGTTTGATTTTTAAATAATTTTCTATACAATTAATTAATAAAAATTGTTATTAAATATTCTAAATTAAGTAATAATTAGAAATAAATTTTAGTTAATTATAAATAAGTTGTACAGTTTATGATTAATTATAAAAATTATATTCGAATAGTTTTATGAATTCAATTATGAAAAAAATATTGTGAATAATGTAAAATATTAAAAATTATCTAAATGTTTTAAAAAGTATCAATATTTAGAAATATAATATGTCAATTTGTAATTAATGTTAAAAAATATTAGAAATAATGGAACAAATTAAAAAGTAGCCGAAATTAGACAAAATGACTAAGAAAGTTGTAACTAATGTTAATAACTTATCAAAAAATTACAAAAAAATTAGAGAAAATTATCAGAAAATGTTAATGCATTTGATTATCATTAATTGTAATTTTTTTTTAAAGATGTCTGGACATGGAATAGGCAAACCGTACATGAATGAGAAAAGAATGGAAGAAAAAACGGAAGGAAGAATGGAAGGTCATGCTTGTAGACTTACAGCGACTGGTCAAAAAGAAAATGAGGAAAAAAATCCACTTAAGGTTACGGGGAGGAAGAAGGCGGAAGTAGGGCGTCCCGACGGTCGCCCCTACTATGGGGCAGATATCTCTTAGTCGAGGTACTACCTCCACCCCTACACCTGAGGATGCGACGCAATGAGAGGCTAATTGGAGTGATTCAGTTTCTATGGAGACGACGATGATGTGGATGTTGATGAGCAATGCAGTCAAAATCGCGCTTTAAAACTTAAAAACTTACGATTTTACGGTTTTAGGTCACCAAAACGCTTTCTTTTCCATATAAAAACTTAAGTGTATAAAATCGGACTAAATTGTGCTTTAAAGCTTAAAAGCTTACGGTTTTACGCTTCTAGTTCACCAAAACGCTTTACGTTTTTAAGCTTTTAGTTCACTAAATAAGTATTCTTTTCATTAAATTAATTATAAAAAGTATATAAAAGTAATCACCAACAATATGACACATTTGAGATTAGAAGATACATATAAGGTATTTGGATGCATTCTCAACTTCAATAGAGTAATCTAATTCACTAGCTAGGCTTTTCCCAAATTCATTAACATAGAGGGAAAATTGGCTTATTGTTAAAATTTATGTTTACGAACTTATTATTAAGATGCTATAAGTTGTTCTACTTTAGGCATAAATCACATGTATTTATTAACTTATCTGTGCATTCATATTTTGCATAGCATATGTCATACTTAATAGATTTTTAGTTATTTTTCAGTATGCGTCAAAACTCACGCTTTTACGCTTTGATTCTACGCTTTACGATTTTATCCATTTTCCGCTTCTAGGTAGAATCGTGCTTTTGACTGCATTATTGATGAGGTTGGCCATGTCCCACCTGAATCTGATGTAGGCATCAGGAAGAAGACACGAGTTGGGACTTCTTCTACTGCTTCTTCGCACTTTCCACAGCGTGGGCTAGATGGACGTTACGTTGAGAAACGTAGTAGTGAGGAAGACGGTGATGGTAAGAAGAGGAAGAAGGGAGTCAGGGGGGACATGTCGTGGCATCTGACATCAGAGTCTCAGCAGTGTTCAGGTCAACCTGTGATTCCCGATGTGATCCCTAGCTTTGGAGGTCACATAGCCTTTGCATTGTGGACTTCCCCTGTGCAGGATCGTGGGTTGTTGGATTGTTGTCATAGATCTGGTAGTGTGGAGTCTTTGAGGAGATATGAGTGGAGTTCAGAGGGTTCTCAGAAGGTGGTTGAGGGCACAGGATTGTCCCATTTGGCAAGGTGTATGATGCAGCATTTAGATACAGCTTTGATAAAGGCATTTGTGGAGAGATGGCAGCCGGACACGAACACCTTCCACATGCCATTTGGAGAGATGTCGATTCTTCTCCACACCGTGCATCACATTATTTGTATTTCAGTTGAGGGGAGCTGATGAGAGTTGATCCGCATCCGGATGTTCTTAAGTTAGACATGCATGATCTAGTTCGGGTCCCGGTGGATGGTTCTGTTGGTGGTAAGTGGAAGTCGAAGTGGTTCCTTAATGGTGGTATACACGCAGAGGGATTGTTGGTGCGTGGACGAGAAATGAAGATTAGGGACCTAGAGGTGCAGTGTTACTTGTTTGTGTTGTTGGGATCCACACTTTTTCTAGAGGACCACCGACGAGTGGCCGGTTACGCCTGGGGAGCTGTTGCACTCGCCTATCTCCACAGGCAGCTAGGGATGGCCACACGAGTGGGGAGTAAGAGTATTTGTGGTTGTTTGACTCTGCTTCAGGCTTGGATGTATGAGTACTTTCCACTCTTCCGTCCGAGCCAGATTCTCCAGGCTCCAGATGCTCCTCGTGCTTCCTCGTGGGTGTGTCACCGCTTTGCAGGTGGTGATGATGCTAGACAATGCTTGGTAGGGTATCGGCAGATTTTGGATGAGATGTCAGGGGAGGATGTGTCTTGGACTCCTTACGGGCGAGATGCCGGCACGAAGGTACTACGCTCTTTGTATACTGGTGTCATTTGCTTTGCTGACATTGCTGAGGGTTATGATCCTGCACGGTTTCGCCGACAGTTTGGGTACCGACAGACTATCCCCCGCACAATGATGGTTCCCAAGGATGTGTACCGCCCAGCTTCTTGCAGCGCCTACATCGTTTTCTGAGAGGGTAGCATGGATCAGTTATGGGGCAACTTGCCGTCTCATTTTCTACACATAGCATTTGATTCTGACTTGTGCGAGTACCCATTTGAGGCTGATGAGGATTACATGGACTGGTACCGGACTCGATCGCACCCACAGATCATCAATCCGGACTCTGGTGGAGTGTCTCTACAGGGGCCAGTGCTAGTCGATGAGGTTAGTTATCTCATAATTGTTCAATTTTAATGTGGGATTTTTCCAGAAATAGAACCTTTAAAAAAAATTACAAAAAAGCACACATTTCGTAGAAATTACAAAAATAGCACCCTTTTTTAAAACCCGCACCCCCTGGTGCGTTTTGCATGTAAACCGCACCACCCTGGTGTGTTTTGTATTTAAACCGCACCCCCAAGGTGCGGTTTGGCTTTTTGGGCCAAAACCGCATCTTGGCCATGCGATTTGCTGTCTGACCTAACCAAACCGCATGGCCCAGATGCGTTCTAGTCCTAACCTAGCAAAACCGCACTTTGGGGATGTGGTTTTGCTTCTCCAAAACAAACCGCACTCTCAAAGTGCGGTTTTGGCAACACAAACCGCACCCCCCCCCCCATGCAGTTTGTATGTCAAATATTTTCCGTCACCAGACATGCAGCCATGTAGAATGACAGACGTGGGGTTGCATGGCAGATGAAAACCGCACCTCTAATGTGCGATTTTCATTGATGATTTTGCCTACAAAAGGTAGCCCGGGAAATCTCTTCTCTTCACACCTCTCCTTCTCCCTTTTCAATTTTCTTTTGTAGCTCCCTATTTCTCTAGTGTTTTTGCGGTTAACGTTAACTCGTAAGTTTATTTTGTATTAAGTTTTATTGTGAATTGTGATTTGTGATTTTTATGATATTAGTTGAACTACTGTTTTTTTGCAGATGACATTCCAAAAGTTCCCTCTTGGGTTACGGTGGAATGGTTACACGGAAGAGAGCGGAAAGGGGGTCACCTACGTCGGTGACAATTTTTAGAAAATAAGGGTCGCTACCAGACCGATGCTTGAAGACCTCTATCAAATGTGTACTAACATTACTTGCATGGATGGCACGAGAAGAGTTGATCGTATGGTGTACCGATATCCAAACAGAGAAGGCGGGTCGTTGTGGCACGAGGAATATCTCATAACCACTCAGGATGAGGTAGATGCCATGCTCAAATTCTTGAGGTCCAACAATCTTTCCAGAGCCGAGATGTTCGTTTACACTAAGCCGGTCGTAGGCGTTGGAGGTCATTCTGGAGACGGTCAAACATCTAGTATCCATGGTGGAGGTGAATTATAAGGAGATCATCCCTACCAAAGTTACCATGATCCTCATTCCTATTTTCAGTACCAAGAGCAAGGTGAAGGTCATCATCAATCTTACCCGTCATATGAAGAAGAAGTTCAACCGGACTATGCCAACCAACCCCAGTACAACTTCCAATCAGGCAGTGGTAGTTTTCAAAACTACCATTATGGAGCTGATGAAGGTGCCTTTCATGAGCTGGATCAGATGGAAGATGCCCTGCCAGCACCAGTCAGTGACCCCTCTGATAAAGAAGGAGAGAACAACTTCAGTGCAAACAGCTTCGACCATCTTGAAGGTGCTGATGATTCAAGACCAGAGTCAGAGTCAGATAATGATGATGAGGTGGCTCATGACCGTGTACCAGCCCCCTACTACAATCACATTCCAGACGACAATTGGATGGTCGACAGAGACATGGAACCCCAGAAAGTTCCAATATGGGGTCCACTCACTGGATTTATGAAGGGCCAACAATTTGGCTCGAAGAAGGAGGTGCGGCACGCCATTGATATTGAAGCAACGACTCGGCATTTTGAATGGTACACAACTCATTCCAACACGAAAATGCTCATAGTCAGATGCCGTAATCATAACGAGGGATGCAATGTTAGGATTCGGGCCATCAATAGCAAGAGACACGACTATTGGGTCATATCCCGTGCGACATAACATCCCAAGACCATCGACAGTTGAAATCCAGGGTGGTTGCTGCGGCTATCAAGCATCTAATTGAGCAAGATCCTGACCTGAAGGTGAAAGTCATAATCGCTGACATTGCAAATTGTTATGGTTATATGATTAACTATAAGAAGGCGTGGCATGGAAAGCAGAAAGCTCTGGCCACCGTATTTGGTGATTGGGAAGAATCATATGCATTCCTTCCCAGGTTGATTTTGGCACTGGAGGCGTCTAACCCTGGCACTGTTTTCTCCCCTCGATACCAAGATGAAGAGGTACAACCGCCAGAGCCAGGTAACAAACGCCATTTCAGACGACTTTTTTGGGCATTCAAGCCATCTATTGATGGTTTTGGCTTCTGTGTCCCTGTGATCCAAGTGGATGGTACATTCCTTATCGACAAGTACAAGGGCACTCTACTGATTGCCAGTGGGGCGGATGCAAACAAACAAGTCTTTCCGTTAGCCTTCGCCATTGTTGAGGGAGAGAATACTGATAGCTATGTATGGTTTTTCCGGCAAATTCAGCTCCACGTCACTAGGAGGACGAACCTGACAATAATCTCTGATCGGCACGCCGGGATTAGAGATGCCATCTTAGGTTTGGATCCATCCTGGAAGTGGTCCCAAAGGTGGTGCATACGACACTTCAAGAGCAACTGGAACCATCATTTCAAGCGAAAGAAGCTTGCTGATAATTTGTGATGGATTGGTAAGCTCTCTATTGGTTGTTTAATTTTGTCTGATAACAATATCTTATATCAAATAAATGGTAAACTTGTTAGACTCTTTCTAAAGAGATGCATGCCTAATGAAATGGGGGTTTTAAGCGATTATCATGGTCCTCCCATTTCTTAGGAAAATCGGGTTTTAAGCGATCCTCGGATCCCCCCTTTTTCTGTCGACCAGGTTGTGTTTCTAAGGAGATGTAAACCTCTCCTAAGAGTCTAACGAGAGTACCTGCTGGTTGTTTGAATTGTAATAAATTGCCGAATTATTACTAACGTAATACTTGATTGTGATTACCTCAGCTGTTGCATACCAAGAGAAAAAATTCCAAGAGAAGTTGCAGAAAATGCGCGAGTTATGCCCTGAAGGGGCATAGTGGCTAGATGGACACGACCTATCCATGTAGACATTTCATAAAGACGGAGGTACAAGATGGGGTATGGCCACAACGAACTCATCAGAGAGTATCAATTCTGCCTACAAGGGTGTTCGGGCGCTGCCAATCTCTGCCATTGTGGAGATGACTTTCTGGAAAACGAATGGATGGTTCGCTAATCGACTACACTGGGCAAGGACGAACGAGACACATGGAAAGGTCCATGCCAATAAAGTCACAGAAATACTGGAGCATGACAATCGGAAGAGTAGTCGACACAGTGTAACCGTTATGAATCGGGCAACTGGCGAGTTTAGCGTGACGACCGGACACCGTGAGGATGGTAGACGCGGGGGCCATCTCCATGAAGTTTTAATAAATTTCAGGACAAAACTTGGTGAGTGCTCATGTCAGAAGTATCAGGGGAGAGGGTGGCCATGTTCTCATGCAATGGCTGTAATTAAAAACAAGAACAAAGACCCCCGTCACTTCGTCAGTCCATTCTTCACTATCGACCCACTCAAAAATTGCTATGGACTGAGTTTCTGTGCATTGCCTGATGAAGCTTATTGGCCGGTGTACTCAGGAATTGCTCATGATGGTAGGTCGGGCAGGGATCATGATGGGGATCTTGAGAGTGGCTCGGGCGGGGATCTTGGGACAAGCTCGGGCGGGGTTCTTGGGAGTGGCTCGGACGGGGATCTTGATGTGAGCTCGGACCGTCACTGTGTGCCACAACCAAGGGGGTCGACACTCTCCATGCTTCCAATGTCCTTTATCTCAGGCACATGAGGTCTTTCCCGAACCTTCTTGCTTTTCTTTCTCTCGTATGGTGGTGGGGGACATCAACTTGTACCGGAGGTGGCACCGGTGCGGGCATGGCTGGGTATCTACGATGATCATGACCCTGTGCTCTGATACAGCCAAGCAGACTATTTGTCATCCTCTTGATGAAGCTTACATCTTCATGTCCCATTTCATGTTTCCCATGGGTCAACTCTTTGATCCGCTCGATCCCATCAGCCTAAATCACATAAAAAGGTTAGCAAGATAAGACTAATGATGTGACAGAATGAAACAAGCAATAAATTTAATCTTATTAGACGGAATATACTTACCAAAGCACCATCGGCCGCACCCTCCGGTGTCCCGTACCGAACCGATGTCTATCCATGTATGGGTCATGATACCCCATTCGACCCACACTTGTTGGAGTGACAATATCCTGAAGTTGTCAGTTCTCCCATACCGCGATCATTTCCGTCAACTTCGTGGGCCAATCATGAGTACCTTGCCGACCATCTCGGCGGTGAAACACCCTTTGACTCTCGGGGACCTCCAATGGAATGCACTGCTCCCGACCAAACTGACGAAGGCATCGATTCGGCAGGTGCCACTCCACGGTCCCTAAATAAATGAGAGGGACCCTCATGCACCATTGCCCGATATTCTCGGGGAATTGCTGTAAATGCCAATGAACGATGTTCGCCGGGTATGGATCGAATTTGATATACAAAAAAAAAAATTAGTAACTTAAGTTAAATCCGATTGGAAAAATACATGTACTCCATGAAAAAAAGTTATAGCACTTAGAAGTATTCTAGTTACCTCTCCTTTCCAAAGTCGCTCTAGCTTCCTCCGACCCACCTTATTAATAAGACAATAATAAAAATACAATAAGCTAAAACATAAGGAAAATTGTGTAATTAAAATCATGATGGGGTATGAGAAATTTACCTACAACCATAAGCTTTGAGTCTTAGGGGATGATCGGGACCCTAATTCCTGTCGGGACATTAGAGCGGTGCAATCCATGGCAGATTTTCCCAAGCCCAAAATTGAACGATGAACATTGCGTCGCCGACCTCCCTCACAGCTTTGAGAGATGCATTGCACACATGG